CATTTGTGTCTAGGCACTGAAGCTTCGAATGAAAAATGTTAGATGAAACTTTCGATCATACTACAAATGTAAGATTTCTCAATTTAGGCTTCCCTAGGCAACAAGGCTTGGTGCAATAAAGCTTAAGATCCAGCAAAGAATTGAGGCATTTACTTCCAAACTTGCGGCGAAGGGTGTGCGTCTTATCCCATCAAGCCCCATTCCTTCGTTGATCTACATCTGTCTGCCCAAGATTTAAATTCTGCCGCCCGTGTTGAATGCTTGATTCGATGTCCTTTCTCTTTCGCCCCACGAGAACTCATCAAGTCAAAGAAAATGGTAGAAGTAACTTTGTTTTGTGCATTTTCAGTGCGACAGAATTTGCCAGGGTTACGGGAAGGGTCAGGAATTGCCACTATTCTCCCCTTGTTGTGTGTGCTTAAACAGGTAAACCAGCCAATTACGTAAGTAAATGCAAAGACACAAAACGTTTCGGCAAACTTGTTGCTGAATCGATCGGGACGAAGCCAGTGTGATACTTGATTGTCATCCGCGCTCGATTTTCCGTTCGATCTGATATATGCCTTCGCCTTCATCTCAGCGCTTACGTCGTCGAGCAAATTCTGTTTAGTATGTACTGTTGCAAACTGCAAACAATAGCGTGCAATGTCGCCCCATCTACTGTAACACTCTTTCACTGTATAAAAGAGTTTACACAAAACAGCCCCTTGCAACATCTAAATATCCCTTTACTGGTTCACATCGACATGTACAGACTCGTGCATTATGTTTGACGAATTTGTACCATATCGCATGAAATGATGACGTAACGGCAACTGTTCTTGCATTGGGGTATGCTGGTTTGACATTATCCACAATGCGAATGCCCGGGGATGACGCAGAATGCGCTTAGATTGCCTAGATGATCCTTCAACTACTTGTTTACCAAGTAATTAGCGGCAATCTTTCATATGAAAAATCACGTGTACCATCGTTGCACGAAGATGCGCGAGATCAATCAAACTAGAAAACCTACATTTTTTGCCGATTCTGAGGTTGCCAAGTGCCACCTATGTCGTACATAATCTTTGCTGCCTCAAGCTATCAGCAAAATGTTCCATCGCTTCGAGTAGCAACAAGGAATGTATATATGAGCGTCGCACTACTGTTCGTTAAGAAACATGTTCCGCTCGGTATTTTTGACGACAGCATCCGCTAAAATATCGGCACATATCGCTTGAAAAACTCTTCCCTACTGTTTTTGGATAGGGATGCAACATTTCGTTTTTTCCATCGACCGTGTGAGGTAAATAGTGACATCATTCATAATAATTTGACTCGCCTCCTCACTCAGGCGGTGGAAGCACAACTGCACGTGAACAACGTCTCCTCCACGACAAACACAGGATACTTATAGAGTAGGCTTTTCCGAATTCCATGTCGCGTGCATGTTCTCCATCGAATTGACAAATTATTCGGTCTGAAGCACTCATCTAGACTATTGTTATAAGTTGCCACGCTCTAATCTTTTGTCGAAAAGAGCTGTAGTTACCGACGCTGCACTCAATTTGCGCTGGGAACTTCACTATAATCGCTTTTTCTATCTGATTTGCCAATTGATTCGTCTTGATTCTCATAGAGAAGTCACTTTAGCAGTATTTCGCGAAATTTTAGTCCAGAGATACGTGCCCATAGTGCTGCCACGAGATTGAACTTCGAGCCATGTGCTTGAGCAAAGGACAATAGTCTTTATCTGCACGTGGGAGAAAAAGTGAGGGCAATTATGACTGCGAAATAGTTGACAGCGATGGTGATGTTGCGATGGACAACCGCTCGACGTGTTAATTCGTAAAACTGCGCTCGCGTGGAATAATCTTTTCGAGTGAGACGAACAGGTGGCCGATGCCAACGTGTCGATTTACCCGCACCCATCCTCAGGCAGCTTGATGTCGATAGATGCGACGGCCAAGCCGGACGAACTGTATCAGGTGATTTGAGGACTCAAGCGTCCGTGCAAACAACAATGGATGCGTAAGGTCTTGGCTTTGCTCGATAGTCCTCCTACGCGCGAGTAACTTTTGTGCTGTCATCTGATGTATTCAACGAGGTTGGAAACCATCACTGTCATTGTGGGTGTGAGAAGGCAAAGAAAGATAAAGAGAATGTAAAGAAGTTGGAGCAATGTGTCGTGGAAGTCAGACTAATCGATGGGAGGAAAGTGGCGCAAAAGACGTCACGACAATGGCGTACATCGAAACGTATGAGACGTGGAATCGCGCAAAATTCCATTAAACTATCGGCTCCGTGTCTGTGTTGACCCTAATTTGCCAAGATGTGATGATGTATCACACCTACCTCGCCGGCTCAGATACAATCATTGGTCGCATCGACTGTGGACGCATTCAAGAGCGCTTATGCCGGCTGCGTGAAGTGTAAAGAGTGATGTGCAACCGGCTAATTCACCTGTTCCAACATCGATCGACGTTTTCTGTCTTCACCCACAACTTCGTTCGTCTGTCATCGATATTGAGCTTCGTATAGAAAAGGAAGTGCTTCCAATGTGCTCGTCGATGCAGCGGTAGCATGGCAATCCGCCGCGTAATGCCTGGTCAGCGGTCCCGTTACTTTTGTCTCATCTTGCCCAGATGACGACGCCTATGTCTGTCTAGTACGAATAGACGTTATGAAGATCATGGTGTTGCGCTCACACAATGATGCATTGCGTCAGTAGCTGCTTGAGCTGCATTCGAATAATCTCAAGCACTGCTGCCGCTGCATGACAAAAGCGCGGTCCACACTGGGTTTGCGGTACGACAACGACACGGATTGACCGAGGTACAGCTATATCACATTTTTCTAGATTGCAGCAGCCGATACGAGGACGAGTGGTTAGTGCAATTCGCTTCATTCGATGCAATTACGTTGCACAAACCATTAGTACGCTCCGAATATGGCATTGCCAACCGAGCATCTTGGTACGCGGCGAGAGCGGAGACGATAGTTCTGCTTAGGGCAAGGCTTTTTTAGATCAGAGGCAATCGAATAAGTGCTGCCGGAACCAGCGATCGACAATTGGTCACCTATGCGGCGTGGACGACCGACGCATCACTACCAATGTTATTGATTGTGCGCGTCAAAGAATGCCGGATCTGCGTTGCGTGCAAACTCGTGCTGGTTTTTGCATGTGGCGCCTACCTACCAAGCGCTGATGGTCGAGTTAAATATATATGGAGACGAATCGGTCGAGTTCTGTATGAAAGTGGGCTTTGAGACGAGAAATGGAGCGGTGGGTACGTGGGAAATTTCGATACAAATTACCGTAAGGATCGGTAAACCTCTGCCGAGTAATTGGTACTGTTGTCGATCAAAACCATTACTAATCTTAGGGAGTCCTGTACTACGAGCTTTGGAAGTACCAAAGAAAGTCCTCTCCATGATGTTAGTCGATTGCTACAGCCTCCAGCTGCTTCAGGTGTTAGCCTAACTAATGTCCACAAAAACGCTGACGATTGCGTTACACTGCATTCGACAGCACCAAATGAATGCAGTCAACATGCTGAACAAGTGATGAGTACGGCAAGACATCTACAACGGTGTCCAAGTGAATCGAGTCAACACGTTCTCAGCCCGAACAGCCAACTCACGTCGGCGCCATTTTTGTCGAGTGCAGCTTTTGCCAGAGGCTCCGAGCTTCTTGACTTCCATACCGTCACTACATCTGATCGGTCTGAAGGTAAAAAAGGTGCCCGGGTCAGAAGCAAATCTCGACAAAAATCGAGGCTTTCGTCATATCTGCACATTACGAAGTGATTAATCAAATCTTCCCGCACCGCACGCATAATGTGGTAGAGATGCGACCTCTACATGACTTATGCATCGCGCGCACTCCATTCCCTATCGTCCAATCAGTTGTACACATGTGCAGGACTTCGAATGGGCCGTCCACCGACGTGTCGCACGATGGACACTGAGTCGCATGTTGAAGGCAGAGTGGGCACGAAAAGATGTAGATCGAGGTTTTTTACACAAAAGTGGCTCGTTTGAGCTCAGTAGGATTAATCACTATCGTCATGGATACAATGCATAAAAAATAGTTGCTCAACCCTTACGCCATGAGTGCTGTGGTTCATTGCGGGAATCAATTAGAAGGTCCAAAGGATGCGCCCTCTCGTCCCCTTTGATGTGGGCAAGAAGCCTCATACCGACATGAGGTACGAATACGCAGCTGTCGAGTACTAGGTCCTGGCTCATTCGTGATAACCGACCGAGCATTGTTTATTTACTTAGACTCGGCTAATCCGCTGCATAAGCAACTACAACGTGTGGAACAATAACCGACATGGAAAGAGCTGGAAGTGTATTTCATACCATTTGACACGTGCCAAACCGATGATGTGGTAGCCTGCAGATACCGTGTCTTGATGTGGAAATGAAGACAAGAAATTGGGGTCAGTAAAGTCATGTCGTGTTCTAGTCATTATGGACAAGATGGGTAGCGACGGTGCTTGTGGTTGCTACAGTCCGACGTCTACGAACCAAAGCGATTCGGTCGTGTGTTGAAAAGTTCCTTATTCATCTGACAAGCTGTAACCGCTTCTCAGTTATTGAAAAGTCATCCAATGTACCCATTATTTCTAAAGGAAGCGCTGGATACAAACAACGGAATAGACATCAGCTGGCAGAGCATGTGGAGCAGGTAGATGCAGTAGCCTATGCGACATCTTTCCTATTGACGTAATACTTGACAGCTCATACACTTCGTAGGGCATCACTTGTCCATTGCGCTTGGCGATGATGCCATACACGTGCGGGAAACATCCTCCCTGCGCCTGAGCTATGTCGAAAAGTCTGGTCGTCGAAGAGAGGGGTAGTGGTAGCCTGATCCGAATCACTTTATGCAGCTGCGACGCTGTACACCTCGTCTGAGTCGTCAGATTAACGACTGCGCGGGCTCCTCACTTTTCATTTTGCGCTCTATTCGTCGTTGGTGTCTGCTCCGAAGCGTCTTTGCAGCCAAAAGTATGCGGTCTATCTACCACTTTGCACTCTCCCTGAGTAGTGTGCTGCTGTTCGTCCTTATTAGTTTGGCCACGGGTCTCGACGCACTAGAGACCCCGACATTTCGTGCTCATGCCGTCAAGTTAAAGGCTGCCAAGAACCTGCCGAGGGATCACGCGCTCCGCGTAAACGATCAAGAGGATCGTGGGCTTCATGCGAGACTTTCTGGCAGCAGTCTACGGAAGGCGGGTAGGGTCATCAAGACTAAATTTGGTTCCTTTTTCGCTTCATTGTGCAATTCAGGTACGAATCACGAGCTGGCCGGAATCGCAAAAACGATCGACGAGTACCACGTTGACACATCGCACAAGCGTCCAGGTGTTATTAGTGCTGCTATGAAACAAGCTGATGACCGCATTCTCCTCGCGCAGCGTGAAGAAGTCAAACGAATGGCGATGGACTACTACAAACTCACACCTAAGAAGCATTCCAAAAAAGCCAAAGCGTCTCAAGAAAATCTGCTCGATGCTTTGTTGAAAACTACGAACATTAAACAGCTGATGTCTGATCTACGAGATCGGAATGCGCAATCGAAGGACGCTGAGACTTATCATCATCTTCGCAACACGCTTGATGATTTCAAGGCTGCCGTGTTTCTTCTTGTGTTGCAGCGCAATAAATTGGAACGCGAGCTTGGGGCACGGTGCGAATGGGCGCAGTTCGATTGGTGGATCATAAGCGAACGAAAGCCTGAAGACGTGCTAGCGGGATTTCTGACAGTAGCGCAGTCGGAAAACGATATACACGTCGCCATGGACATTGTAGCCCGCTACATGCGCTACATAAAACGCAAACAGATGGCATTGTCCCGTCAGAACCAGCGCAAAGCAGGGCCTTCGTCGATACAATAAGTACACCGCAGTTGGTATCAATGCAACACAGTGCGGCGCTGTTACTTGTTCAGTGTCGTGTAGTATTCTGTTTGCTTTGTTACAGTCGCAACACCCTGTTCAAGCCACTTCTTATTCTTGGCAACCTAATTCAAGTTCATTGAACTTGTTTTAGTAAGATACAGATGGTGTCATCCAGCAAGCAACGACTTGGGAAAGTTTGCGTGATAATGTAAGCATCTATACGGGGAAGCGCTACCCCAAACTCGCTACAGCTTCAGCTGATTGAGGAATGTAAGTACAGTCCAACAACCAGTTGAGTGCCTCGATTTAGTAAATCGGGATGTGATCACGTGCATAAGCGTCTCTTATCGTGGCGATCCTTTATCATCGTAAGATTGTACTATGCACCGAAAAAGCAGGTCGGTGCGTGCAGTCTTTCAAGGACTTCGTAGGGTGTCTGAACTAATCATGGCGAAAAAGGTACTACGGGATTCGAAAAAGCATCTTGTTGTGGTAGGTGTGCTGACGGTCATATCCACGTAGTAATTGACGTTGCTTCCTTGAACTTGTTACATCATCATTACATCCCTTTCTCAGTTGTCCAAGAGCAATGTGTTTGTTTCGATGCATACTGGTGGACGTGAGAGAAAAAGTGTAAACGAAGGGAGTTGACCAAGAAAGACAAGGTCACGAACGAAAGACGAAGCACAGGTCGAGCGGCGAACAAGCAGCAGGTGGAAGCAAAGACATTCGGCAAAGTGGTGTCTTGTTCTGATCAAGAGGACTTTGGCATTGCGGAAAATGAAACCCTGCCAGGGTGTTTTCAATTCTCGTGTGGTGACACGGACGGATATAAGTTGGTCCGAGGGGGAGTGGATCGAAAACTCGTGAAGAATGCAACAGCTGAACCATCAATAGACGACTCGATACCGTACGAAAGTGAACAATCGTGACTGGTTCAGCGTGATTGGCCTTGATCGCCCTTCGATCACATGCAAGGCATGTGGCTACATCAAGCGTTGCAACTCCACATCTGAGTCGCAGCATTGGTCACTATCAGGAAATCGCACTTCGACCGCCATAACGCCACACCTTGGCCTCGTAAGCAGCAAAGTCGCCGAGTCTGTTGTCACTAGTACCGTCCTTGAAGTTCATCGCTGTAACTTCATGCCTTTGCTCTCTTCACGAACGACGAAACGGTACAAGATGTATGTGTTCTTTTCGCAGCACTACCTCAATGCGTGTGGGCGATGTATGGAGGGCGGCAGTAGTAGCTTCAGCATTTCCACTTTGGTAAGCTGTACTCAATAGCCTGCTCTGCAAACGAGGAATTTACATACATTGCCAGGCATCCACTTCTGCGTTATACAATTTCCTTCCACGACTGCGAGCCCTCGATCGGTAACGAGGACGCACGACACTTGACGAGGCGCACATGTGCGGATATAACATGGTACCTGTGACCCTCTGCGGCGTTTCCATCAAGAAAGCAGAAGGCAAATGGAAGTGCCGATTTTGTGCATATTTCCTAGACGACGTGAAGCACCGACATCTGAACCCTTAAATATAGTGCTCGTTCGATTGCGTGTGTGCTTTATGGCCTAACGACTCATCACTTGTTCATTTGCATGTCGATCGAGCCGCATGACACTGTTTTGCAATCATCATGTCTTTGGACAGAGCAAAACGCTGTTGCATTTTCATACGTCCTTCGCCATCGCGCTCAGACGTGTTCAGAGTGACATTATCGCGTGGCTGATCAAATGGCAACTTCATCAATGTCCCAGAGCCGAGCTCGTCGTAAAAATTACATGTGCAGCGACAGTGGCCACAGCGTAGCAAAAGTTGCAACGCAACTATGTAAAGCCAGCGCTGCTCATGAGCTGCTTGATGTTATACCACAAGATAATGGGTTCTCTTGTCGAGAATAGTCAAAGTCATGATCTTCACAAGACATTCCACTCGGTGAGAGTTTGCTCCGTACTGCTTGTTGTTAATCAGACGACGAATATCAAGTGACGTCTTTGTTACTCACACGGTCTTGCGATGACTGAAATGCGTACGACTGCTGCATAGCATCGTCCATCGGTCACAAATCTCTGCTACTGCGTCCGACCCTGTCCCCAGCAAGCTGTTACATAAAGACACCTATCACATCTACCTACCTACTCATCTCACTTCTGCATGTCGAGGGATCGCTGGTAGGCCGCAATAGCCTTCTCGTGGTCACCCTTTTCGAAGAGGATCTTACCCAACAATGTCGAGTTTGTCGCAGACGGCTCCAACGACAACGACTTCGTAATGGAAGCCACAGCCTCGTCCAAATTCTCATCGGCATAGTACGCCCGACCAAGTAGCGAATGAAGAGCAGGATCGTCAGGACGGATTTCTGCGGCGCGCGTGAAAGCTTGCACCGCAGCACTAACACTGCCTTTTTCCATCATCACATGGCCGAGGCTTACCAGCACGTCCACTTCTGGCAACGTGTCGCTCCCCACTTCGCTTTCAGTCTCGCCTTCCAGTGCCATCTCGTCTTTTTCTGTAATCGTTGCAGCCTTCACTGCCTCCACCATCGCTTCCTCATCATCGTCATCGTCATCATAGTCAACTTCTTCGTCATCAATCAGGTACTCCTTCACAACGTCGTCAATTTCGACATCAACGTCCGCTTCAGCGTCGTGAAAGTCACCGATGTCGGTCTGGCGTCCCTCAATATCCGAGTCCGTATCGGATCCATCGATGTCATCGTACGTGGATTCCACGGCAGCGATTGTATTTAGTGCGTCTTGAAGTCGTGTTGTTCTCCGTCTCGCAAAATTTGCAGCCATCGGGTTGGAACGAGGTGGCTCATGTCGTGCTTGCTGCGGTGGCAGTGCACCACCAGCGTGAGGGCTATCGATATATATCTCGCGTGTCGGCAGAAAACAGCCAGCACTTCGGGTCCTACTCAGTATTTGACCTGGAGAGCGATACATTGGTGTGCCAGAGCTTGGCACTGGACTTGCTTTGTATGGAGTTGGCATGCCAGGGCCTGTGTGCACCGGCATCGGCAACGAACACTGTCGATCGCGCGACTTGGGCACAATGCCGTCACCACTCCCTCCACTCGTGTTGCTACCATGAGACCCGCTCGTAAGACGATCTGGGTCGTTCAGCATTTCAGCCTGGACACGCAACTGCATCTCAGCTTGCTGCTTCTCTTCTATGAGCTGCGTGACCTGTTTTTGCAAATTTGCCACCTGTGCGTTCACTGCATCATCGTTTCCACCTTGGTGTGACCTCGCGACAGAGTTCGACGCGCGTGCCGGTGCCGACACGTGACGCTCGAGCATATTATTCGGTGGCGAGCGCTGCGCCTCGTCTGAGCGACGCGCGTCACTTTCGAGAGCTGGAATGACGCGCGCCAACGAGATCGCGCGCTGCGCAACCTGTGTCGTGAGCTGTCGCGGCCGTCCTTGGCGACCCGCGTTGCGCAGCACGTCGTGGCACACGACACAGACGCGATGACGGTCGTTCAGTCCATAGTGCGGCAGCTTCATGCGCTCGCGCGCCGAGTGGTCGCGACAGATCGATTGGCCGCAATTGCGGCAATGGTGTCGCTTCTTAAACGTGCCAAACTTTTGCGCGCAAATGCTGCAGCTCGGGGCGTTCATCCAGCGTGGCGGCAGCGACACGGCACTTCGAGTCGTCACGGACGGTCGTTGTGCCACAATCGACTGCGGCCGCACCGACTCAGTGGTCCGCCGCGGCGACCAGGGACTCGAGGCGGTCGCGGTCGTCCCCCCAGCGCCCATGGCCACGTTCGTCCGCTGCTGCGTGTAAAAGTCATTGTCCGAGAACGACCGCAGCTTGAGCGACGCCGTGCTGCTCAGGCCACGCGACCGCTGCCCGAACGGTACACCACCCTGCGGCACGGGCAGGTCACCTGCAATGGCTTGGAACCGCTCCGACGGGCGCAGCGGCCCACCGTCTTCCTGCATCGGCGGCAACTGCTGCTGCTGCTGCTGCAACTGTTGGCTGTCTTGCTGCAGCTTGGCCTCTTGCTCGGCCAAAGCCAACTGGTCCGGCAGCCCCTCCTTGGCACACACGTGGTGGTACATCTCCTCCAGTAGCTTGAGACTGCGGCTCGAGAGTCCCGCCTTGCGCGCGAGCTGCACGGCGTTCTCGCCCGTCATGGCCTTCTTCAGCACTGCGTCCGGGTACGACGCGAGCAGCGCCTGTAGCCACTCGATGCGCGCTTGGGCCTTGATCGCGATCTGAAGCGGCAGCATCTCGGCCGTGTTCGGCCGCCGCGCGCCGCTGGGGAACGCCTTCAGTAGCGCCAAGAGCACGCCCTCGCTGATCGACTGCGGCTCGGTGCACGCCCAGTGCAGCGGCAACATGCCGTACGAGTCCACTTGCTGCGCCGTGGCGGGTTCGGCGTCCACGAGGCGCCGGAGCTCGTCCCAGCGCGAGCTCTTGGCCAGTTTCACGGCGTCGAGGCGCTTGCTCGCCATCGCGAGGTTCGGAGAGGAATGGGTTCGTTTTGGGGCGGGCGGCAGGAATAGTCTTATTCGGAGGTCGCCACCACCGCCGGCCGCCTGAGCGCGGTGGATTGATTCGTCGGGTTGCGGGCGGGGAAAAAACCGGTACCACGGGAGCAGCGCCGAGTGGGCACTGGACGCGGGACACATACCGATAGCGAGGGAGAGAGAGAGAGAGAGATTGGTCGGTCGGTCCTCTGACGACGACGGAGCAAGAGCGAGCGAGAGAGAGAGAGCGCGTGCATTGGGTGCGGTTGGCGGTATATTATTATCTCTAGTTGGAACCGTCTTGGGTCGAGTTTGCTGCGTTGTTGTTTTTCGCCGATGGCGGGCGGCTGAGATGCACGACGTTGATGGGGATTGCTCGTGTGTGTGTGTGTGCGCGCACGTCACGATTATTTACAACAAGAGTCCATCATCACCAATGCAAGAGAGTCAATTCGCGCTCCTGCGACTGTCGTTTCCACTGTCGCTTGCTTGTGTTTTCATCACACTGGACAACGAATTGAGGATGGCGACTGGAAGGCGCTCACCACTCACAATTGATCGACAAACAGATAAATTGATAGACACCGACAGAATCGACACGGCGTGAAAGCAACGAGCTACGCAATGCCTTCCCTTCGATAGCTCGACTTGATCGCACGATATCGCTGCCCCCCCCCCGCTTGGGACCGCAGGCCCACGCAATTTACCAAGACAGAGAGCAAGAGAGTACATGCAAGAGTTGTTGGTGTCAAGTACGTCCATTATAATGATAACTAACGACTGATAAGTGTGACAAGAAGTACGGCCCGGGTATCGGGTCGACAACTAAAGGGCTCCGTAGAGCCAGGGGCGACGGCAACGAGGTCAGAGACCCTCCTACCGAAGCCAACTACGAGTCAATCATGACCGCTGGCGCGACCAAGTAGACTGGGGACATGCGTACCGCCAAGGCGGCAGCACGTACAACGCGGGTATGCTGCCATATAAGGCAACAAACCCCTTTAGGACCGCTTGCGCGGCCCCCGACGTGGAGTGCGATCACCGAAGTGACTGCGTGGCGTGGAGAACGCCAACCCGCCGTCTATCTCTCCGCGGAGCTCAACCATCTGCGATGGTGGCTCCCTACAGCCGCTTGCGCGGCCCCCGACGTGGAGTGCGATCACCGAAGTGACTGCGTGGCGTGGAGAACGCCAACCCGCCGTATATCTCTCCGAGGAGCTCAACCATCTGCGATGGTGGCCCCCTACAGCCGCTTGCGCGGCCCCCGACGTGGAGTGCGATCACCGAAGTGACTGCGTGGCGTGGAGAACGCCAACCCGCCGTATATCTCTCCGAGGAGCTCAACCATCTGCGATGGTGGCCCCCTTCAGCCGCTTGCGCGGCCCCTTGACGTGGAGTGTGCGCTCGCCGCAGCGGCGACACGTGGCGCGGGGTACGCCTCCAGTCCGTAAAACACCCCTGCTAGGGCCGCTTGCGTGACCCGTCGGTCTCCTACGCCCACACCCGCGACTGCGAGTGCAGCGTGCGCGCGTCAGATCTTCGACCACGTCGGCTCCCCAAGGGGAGGATTCCCTCCGACGTGACGGCCCCGAAGGGAAAAAGACTGGCTTGAGCTGAACCGTGAAAATTTGGGAATGGAGAGTACATGCAAGAGATGAAGCGGAACAGAGCGGCTTTGCCTGCCTATCCATCGTTTCCTAGACATCGCTCTTTTTCTATCACACATGCGAAACGCAGCTACTTCAGTGTGCTTTCTTTCCCCCGCACCCTCTGTCTGGCGTGTCGGCAGCTACTTCAGCCAAATACGTCTTTCGGCGGCGTGTCAAGCTATATGATAGGTTGGTAAATAACATCACCGACTTGTGCCCTCGCTCGTACTTAGTCGTTTCCTCACTGCCTCGTTCGTACTTAGTCGCGCCTCACCTTTTCCTTCGTACGTGGCCGTTACGTACCCTCAGCTCCTCGTTCGTACTTAGTCGCACCCGCTCCGCCGGCCTGCTACGGTCTCCTGGGCGGCAAGCGTCACCCTCGCCAGAAGAGCGCGCTGTACGTCCCTCTTCTCCGCCTCTCACGCGAGCCATGAACGCCGAGGAGACAGAGACCGACGGGTTCGACCCCATGGAGCTCCTGCACGTCCAGCGAGAGCAGAAGCGCGAGAGTTTCACGCGCTACCGACTGCAGGAGACGCTGATGCTGATGGGATGTCGACCGAAAGACGTGGCGACTGTCACGCGAGAGGTCTTTGCTGTGTTTGCGCAGTACGTGTCAAAAAAAGAGCAGAGAGACCGTACGAGTCGACCAGGAGGAGAAGAAGCAGAAGGAGCAGAAGAAGCAGAAGCGGAAGCAGAAAAGGAGGAGGAGGAGGAGCAGGAGACGTTGTCTGTGGTGCTTCCTTGGCATCTACTGCATCAGTGTATCTACTCGTCGCTGGCACGACTGGACTATGTGAAGCCCCAGCATTTACTGGACTTTGAAGTGGCCAAGGAGATCACGCAGCGGAATCAGAGCTTTGCAGTGCTGTTGGGAGGCACGTCAGGCACCGGCAAGTCGACGCTGGCGTCGTTGTTAGCGGCGCGGTTACGACTGACGACGATTTTGCCCACAGACTCGGTGCGTCATGTGTTGCGATCGTTCACGTCGAAAGAGGAGAATCCGTGTGCTTTTGTGTCAACGTACCAAGCTGGAGACGCCTTGTCACCGCAGATGGTGGCAGCACTTCGGGGAGACCGAGAAGACATGTCGCCTGCAAGGCTGCACAAGAAAATGGTGCTGAAGGGCTACACGATGCAGTCAGAGTCGGTGCTGGAGAAGCTGGACCGAGTGCTGACGATGTTTGAAGAGCGCAAGCAGTCGCTGGTTGTGGAAGGGGTGCACTTGAACACGGACGAGTTGCTGTCGCTCGTCAAGAAGCACCCGACGTGCGTGCCGTTTATGATCTACATCAGCAACGAGAATAAGCACCGCGATCGGTTTGCTGTCCGTGCACGTCACATGACGATTGATCCGCAGGAGAACAAGTACATAAAGCATTTTGACAACATCCGCGTCATTCAGCGCCATTTATGTAAGCATGCCGATCGGTGTCTGATTCCCAAGATCGATAACACCAATGTTGACCGCAGCATTGCTACTATCCAGAGCACGTTGGTGCGCGTACTGCGCAAGCTGAATCGAGGCGAAAAACTCGTGGACGACAAGATCGGCAAGTTTGTCATGCTCTCGCGTGAGCACGAGAACTCCCTCAAGAAAGCTTGGTCAAGTAAAGGTGTGCGCAAAGCGATGCGCCCTCTGCTCAAGCAAAAGGTGTCAAAGCGGTTGTTACTTCGCCGGCTACTCGCGGAGCAGACGATGGATACATTTGGTGCCTTGGACTCCCGTCAGGGTGAGGACACATCAAGCAGCGAAGAGGAGGAGGAGGAAGACGCGGGTCGTGATGCTGACGATGAGAGGAATGGTGATGAAGACGACGAAGACGAGCAGACGACTGTTGTGGGTAGTCTCCTGAGTGGTACAAATGCGCGAGACCACGTGGCTACTGTGGCCCAGGTGGTGGCAATGCCCGCTCAAGGACAGCAGACGGCACCGCGCTTGGCTACTCAGAAACGGATGTTTCTAGATGAGATCGAAGAGCATGCAGCTGGCTCGAGCGACAATGCCAAATCCATGTGCTCGCTTTCGCAGGCTGTTCGTCAGGCTGCAGTGTGGCGCGCAAGTCAACCGCTGACGAACTACGCTGACTGGGTCTCGCACGCTCCGCCGCCTAGCCCCGAAGCCACATTCTCGGACGTCATGGAGAGCATACCAGAGTTTGCAGCAGCGGTGGACAAAGGCAAGCGACCTCCGTGGGACTCCGAAGAGAAGCGCAAGTCATGGATGACAAGAGATCATCCCGTTGACGCAATAAAAGGCCTTGCAGCTCAAATGAGCACAAGCCGAGTCCCGTCGCCAAATGCTTCGGGGCAGTTTAAGGCATTCGTCGAAAGCCAGCGCATTGAAGGCGAGGCCCAATTGCATATACAGCGCACGCAACAGCAGCTCCGGCAGCAGCACACACTGCCGGTGAACCACCAGCTGCCTCCGATTGGAAGACGGACAAAGCCAGTGGCTCGAAGACTGCACGCTTTGCTTTCGGATCAACGACAAGACAGCTCGAGCAGCTTGGATTTTGACTTCGACAGTGTGTCGATGGTCGATACCGATGACGACATTGGCCGCGTGTCGCAGACTTCTTCGCCGCGTGATGGATGTGAGTGGATTGCGTCAGTGTGAGTGGTTTTCTCGTAGTGCTCTGACACGGCTTTTTCTCTCTCTCTCTCTCGTTCTCGCTCTTTTGTTGCGCAGGTGTCTCACCGCTGGAACACAGCAATGACGACGTGGACAGCCCCTTTGAGGTCAGTTCGCAGAGCTCTGAGGAGTGAAGGAGATACGTATATTGATACAAGCCGACAAGTAATTTGCACAAATGAGATAAAGAGAAAACGACCGCCAGGCAAGTCAATGTCGGTACTGCCCATCGTCTACATTGCTGGTGCGGATGGCCCAACAGCATCTTCGCAGCTGCTTCTCGTGTGTGGTGCTTAATTCGCTGGCACGCAAGATGGAACGGCCAATGAACACGTGCGCATCGACGAGCGATAGTGCGGCAACCGAATGCCAGCTGTGTTGGTCACAGTCGACCGAGGTGCCTATCTGCGATAGCGTTCAGGTCGTGAAGACGACACGATGTGGCTACAGTGACGAACTCTATGCAGCGTGAGCTCGCAGGTCTGCTGTGATCAATGTCGAGCGTCACATTGTCAAGTGCGCCAGCACCTTTATAGGTGTTGGACAACTTTCACGGATAAGCCGAGAAAAAGCACGTGGATGGTCCACCGTCCGTCGACTCGCAGAGTGCGACAGTGTGGCACTGACTTCCACGCGTCGCGTCGAGGCACGAAAAACAGAAAAAACGCACAACACGCAGCGCCCGTGTCGTCAGCACGAGTCCCTCGTGGCATTGTCCAGCTCACTGCTTATCGACGATGGATGCTGATGTGTTCCACTTGCATTACGCGCTTATGGAGCGAGCGCAACGCGGCAGTGTTTAGGGGCGTGCAGTCTACGACGGCTCAAAGTGTCGTCCGTTTCTGGACTACGGGCGTCCGTCAATGAACGGCCTTGGCGATGCGTGAACATAGAGGGCGGCGACAGTGCTTCAAGGGGCTAGATTACATGCCTCCCTTGAACTTTTTACTCTTGAGGCTAGCGGGGTTTCGCTACCACTAGAGGGGTGCCATGAACCACAGCCGCGACCGGCGCTGTATTCTCGGCTCAGAAGATTTCAGACTTCTAGCGCGTAACCATCATGTGTAATAGATAGTCATGAATCTCTCTCGTATCGATGATGGACGCTCCTGGCAACTGTAAAGAGGCTCTGCACCTTTGTCATCCGTGTGAGGCTAATGCGTGCAAAGGTGTCGGATAACGGATCGAGCGCAACGTCGCAAGCGTACTGAAACGTTTTGCTTGCGTCTTCGAGAGCAGAATCAGAACGGATCGGTTAGCAGAGGATGTAGGATCTGCACAGCTACAACGTCGTCGGAGTGGGTGACAGGTGCTATTTCTCCTTCTTTATCCGATCTTTGCGTAGGGTATTGATTGATCTGACGCTGAAAGGTCGTGTGTGTTGTTTACGGTCAATCGTACCTGAACGATAGCTTCCCCATGGCGCTTGTGTTCGCACCAGACGGAAAAGGACTGTCGTTGTTTATGGAAGTCCGCCCATCGACGGCCCACGGCAAAGTGCAGGACGTGTGTGCATACAGCCTGCGGTATAGAGCGCGAGAAGAAGCGAGGCAAAGAGTGCACATCGTTGTACCTGCTCGACTATCATCACGTGGCCGCAGGAGCAGCGAAGATAGACCCGATGTGTGTCAAACAGTGCCGGAGCGACTCGTTGCAACACGCAGCTGCCACTCCCCCCCACACACACTGCCGATTGGAAAACCGCACAGTGACGCTGGGGTCGTCAGACCGAATGGCACCACCGTTGCGATGGGCAGTCGACCATGTGTCCAACTCGTGGAAAGAAGCATGCACGATCGAGGCTGCTCACGTTGAAGTTCGACGGGTTCCATGCGGTGTCACACCTTCGACGCGCAATCAGGACACGAGTAATCGCGTCAAGCGTGAGCTGCACTACAGGTGTTGACAACGACGTCTTGTCGAGCGAAAAAGATACTGACTGTGTAAGAACGGCAGCGTGGACTGAACCGCGGCGAGTAATACGTCTGTTGGAATAGATCGATGCGGCGATAGCTGCTCGCTTTACTATCGTATCGATTGCGCACGCAGATGGACAACTAGTAGACTACGATTGCGACTCGACTACCATTGCTAGCGCTTGCCTGAACATGCGTAACGGCATACCTTCCGGCTCTGCATCGGATCAGAGACCGCACTCGATCCTGTCGCTCGACGGGTCAAACGATCCGATTCTGTCATGGTCGTTCTGAATGCGCCGACTGGAAAGTCGCTGCCGGTCGATGACTAGCCTCTCCATCACCCACATGTTCCTGCTCTACTCCAGCCACGGCGACTGGCGCTTTGCCAACAGGTCAACAACGACAATAGTAACAGCAACAGAAAACCGACGTGTCGCGCGGTCGAGAGTATCCCTGATAGGCTGAAACGCGGCCGTCGATGGTGCATACAAACATCAAGAGAAAAGGGCTCGTTCCGTTTCACGACAGTAAACATGGCCCGGGTCGTGGTCCCCACCGCTCAGTGCGGAATTTGCGGCAGCCACCGCAATCAAACGTCTCCCCGGACCGAAATCCAAACATCGCACTTAGAATGGCGTCCAACTTCACGGTACGACAGCGCTGCAGGCTGCGGGCCCTCTCTCCTCGACCGCGCGCGCGGCTCACGCTGTCGCTCTTGTGTCCGTGTCTGTGTGTGTGTGTCTCTCTCTCTCCCTCTCTCTCCCTCTCTGTTGTTGTTGCCACAGACGTGGAAGATTGACGAAGAGGTGAAGCTCCGCCTGACGGCGTCAGGGGCCGGTGCGCGTCCTGCTGTCACGACTGCCCAGGCGTTCCAGAGCACGTTGGCCAAGTACGGCGGTGCCAAGGCGCTGCACTACAAGCAGAACGGCGAGTGGTACGTTGCCTGCTTGCGACGACGGTCAGATGGACAAGCCGTGCGGTCTCACTCATGTCTCGTTGTATGTCGCTCGTGGCTTGTTGTTGTATGGTCTGCAGGAAATCGTACTCGTTCCAGACGTACTATGACAAGTGCTGCCAGTTTGCCAAAGCGCTACTCCACGTCGGCCTCGAACGGTACCAGGCCGTGAGCATCATTGGCTTTAACTCGCCAGAGTGGGCCATTGCAGACGTTGGCGCGATTTTTGCTGGCGGTGTGGCCGCTGGCATTTACACGACTAACTCGCCCAAGGCGTGCGAGTTCATCGTCACGCACTCGGAAGCTGCTGTCGTGGTGTGTGACGGCGTGTCGCAGCTTGAGAAGTTTCTGGCGATCCAGGACAATTTGCCGAAGCTTAAAGCGCTGGTGCTGTGGAACGACGTTGTGCCGGGAGGCATTCAGTCGAAAGTGCCCGTCTACTCGTTTGACGACTTTCTCCAGCTTGGTGGTAACGTCCAGGATGCAACGCTCAAGGATGTCATGGACTCGCAGAAGCCAGGCAACTGCTGCACGCTCATTTACACGTCTGGCACGACGGGCGACCCGAAAGCCGTCATGATCTCGCACGACAACGTCGTGTGGACTATTATGAGCGTTATTAGCATGGTGGAGCGCAACTACAATTACACGATAAGCAACGATGACCGTCTGGTGAGCTACCTGCCCATGTCACACGTCGCCGCTCAGCTGATCGACATCTGGCTGCCCGTTTGTGCCGGCTTGCAGCTTTTCTTTGCACAACCTGATGCCCTGAAGGGATCGTTGGGCGTGACGCTGAAGGAAGTGCGTCCGACGTTCTTTTTCGGTGTGCCCCGTGTGTGGGAGAAGATTGCCGAGAAGATGTGGTCGATCGCGGCTCAGACTCATGGCGTCAAGAAGCGTATTGCGGCTTGGGCGAAGGACAAGGCTGCTCAGAAAACGGCGCTTGCTCAGTACGGCAATTCAGGAGGGGCTCCTTGCGGGTTCGGCATCGCCAACGCCGTTGTGCTCATGCGCGTGAAAGAGGCGCTTGGTCTGGACCAGTGCATTGCGAGCTTCAGCGGTGCAGCGCCGATCAGCCGCGAAGTTGTGGAATACTTTGGCTCACTGGACTTGCCTATTTATGAGTTTTTCGGTCAGAGCGAGAGCAGCGGCCCTCAGACGTGCAGTATGCAGGGAAACTGGAAGATCGGTTCGTGTGGTCGTACTATGGACGGTTCGGAAACCAAGGTTGTGCCGGACACGGCTGAGCTGATCTTCAGCGGTCGCAACATCATGATGGGCTACCTCAAGGGTGAACAGCAGACTAAAGACACAGTTGATGAAGACGGCTGGCTCCATTCTGGCGATTGCGGCGGTATCGACGAAGACGGCTTCATGTCGATCACGGGACGTATCAAAGAGCTCATCATCACTGCCGGAGGTGAAAACGTCCCGCCTGTCATTATCGAGGATACGATTAAGGAGGAGCTGCCGCTGTTGTCGAATGTGATGGTGGTTGGCGACCGGCGCAAGTTTCTAGCTGCAGTGTTCACGCTGCGTGTGACGGTAGACAAGGATGGTCAGCCGACGGATGCGCTGGACGAGAAGGCGCTTAGCGTAATGAAGGAGATTGGCAGCTCTGCAACGACAGTAACGGAGGCACGCGTGGACGAGAAGGTAAAAGCACACCTTGACGCCGGTTTGAAGCGTGCCAACAACCGTGCTACATCGCGTGCGCAGAACGTGGGCAAGTACGTTGTGCTGGACCACGACTTTTCTATTGCCGGTGATGAGTTGACGCCCACGCTGAAGTTAAAGCGCAAGGTCGTGCACGAGAAGTACGAGTCGGTGATCGAGAACTTGTACGCGTAAACGACGCTCATGACGTGCCCATCGTAGAGCGGCCTCGTTTGATTTGGTGCATGCAAGTCGCGATTGTGTGGCGTGGACCCGAGGCGCCGGCGTTCGAGAGCGCCCGCGGACGTCCGTGCATGGGAGGGTTTTTGCACGGATGGAGCACACATAGCAGACGCATGCACCGCGTGTGTGCTGGTTCTTGTTCTCGCGAGTAAATGGAGTACAGACTCACGATTGTGCGCTGGCGGTTGCGTGTAAACGACTCACGTCTCAACTCTTGCGTGCCTTTTTGCTCTGAGCCGTCTTCCTCACCTTCCGTAGCTTCTGTCGTTGATCCGGTCTTGCGTTTGGTAGTACGACGCAGGCTGAGCTCCTGCCCCTATAGTTGACAGTTCTTGTGGATGGCTTTGAAGACAGCCATTAAAAAGGTCGTGAGCACACACACGCGAGACGCTGACCTTGAGCGACGCGGCTTTGCCTGTGTTCGACAACAACCAGACGGTGTGTTTGAGTCCTCCAATATGCCACCCCACCGCTATGTATACCCAGCGCTTGTTCCAGCACGCAGCGCATCTTGTCGGCATCTGCGTGCGCTTGTCAACGCCACACAGCGTTTGTGCTGAATGGCTGGGACGGTCTGTTTGGTATCATACGCATTGTACAGAACTTGAGCACCTGCACGGCTGGGATTTCGTCATGTAGTTTTTGAGGTCTGCAACGTCAAAATTTTTGCTTAGCATCAATGAACGGATGCACACCAGTGACGCTTGCTGCTAATGGACTCAGAGATCGAAATCGACCGACATTCTGACAGCCGAAGAGCGCTCGATCCGATACGAAGGCAGCGCGGGCGGCAGCAAGAGCAGCTGCAGAAGGCTGCAACACGCCGAGATGACATTGTTGACTCTCGGTACTCCCATTTCGTGCTCTCGTTGTCATTGTCTTCTCGTTTGTGCAGTCCAATGATAAAGACCTCGATGTATTCACCTGCACGACCAAATTAGACACACCACGAGCTATCAGTGCGCAAGTGCTCAGCAGCCCAGCAGCCACATGCACGAGCAGTTGTTCGCCAATTGCTGCGTTTGACTCGCTCACCGTGAGCTCCATGTACTCAGTTCATTCTCTCCCTCATGATGCTGTGCTGATATGCTGTAGCTGAAAATCGATTCACCTCGAAGGCTTATGAAGTGTCGTCGTCGCGACCTCTTGTGCTACTTGCGCTGCAGTACGTGGTCGACATCGACTTGACCCCTTTTTCCCAGGCCATCCATCTTCTCATCATTGCTAAACGTTACTCACTTGCCTCGAAGCCCAGATGTCCAGCTTTACGCTTGCGCGGATCCACATCGTTGCATTCCTCCGTTGACTTCACATCGAGGGAACGTAAGGACGCATTAAATTGAACGACGAGACAACCGTACACCACAAGATGAATGGAAAACTGCCTGATGCCATGAAACCAGTACGAAGCGACAAACGAGATTCGAAAGCTATCTTCATGTCGTCATTTGTTGGCACATATTCTATGGTCTCACTATTTCAAGCAAAACTACGTTACATCGCGTGGACAAGACGCGTCAAGGAGCAAGAGCAGGAACAATGACCTTATGGCAGCACACAACGTAAAACACACAGCGTGGCACGCACCGTCACGCGTTTCGTTTCGAACAAAGCCGCAAACGAAACATGAGGCACGTTCGACGACGTCAAAATTGGCCGCTTATCAGTAGAGTAACGCTTCGGGTGGAGATACGTGGGGGTGCTAGTGACACGCGCCTGGCTGGCCGAACGACCCGCTTGAATCGAGTTTGTGCACGACATAAATGATACGAGAGCTGAACTTGCTGCACAGGCCCGGTTCAGTGATGTGTGGCGACGACGTGCCTACACGTTTGCCTGACGGAGTCCCGTGTCGTTTTGGCACTTGGACAACACACGCGTCTGGCGGTACAAAACATTAGGGGCCACAACGCGTTTTGATGAACTGAATTTCTGCTAAGTTGTACCGGGTGAGAGCAAGCATATTGTATTTGGAAGTGAGGTCAAGTTCATGGATGCTATCATGTATTATGTATTGTTATCCCTTGTGCGCAGGTGACGAATGCCGAATTGTAACGGGGCTCACCCTTGCGTGAACTTAACGCAAGGGTATCGTGCACCGACAAGCGTACACGAGGCAACCGAGGAGGCGGTTGGTAAGACAGAGGCAACACTGTCTTAGGGAAAAGTAGAACTGTTTTATTAATATAATTAAGTCTTGTAACTACTGTCTCTCTGTTTGACTTAGCTTAATTATACTAATCTAACTGAATGTATGGTGACGTCTCGTCACCACTCATTGCGCGCGTCTTGCGGCGATTGGTGGGTTGATATCGTCAAGATATCAACCAATGAGCAGACTCTTTGGTCGACCCGTCAATATCACCACCATTGGTGATATTGTTAAAAGAATATTCAACATAATATTCTTTATTGCCATTATCTTCTAAATGACAATTTCCATGTAACGGGATGCTCCGTTACATCACCCCCCTTAACTGATGGTCACCGTGTGACTATCGAAATATGGCGGCCACCCGTTGGGCACCATTGGGACAGGGAGCACTTGTTGGGTCCTTTCCATTCACTTTCCACCCGACCTCGCATAGTTAACATGTCTATGCGGGGTGACTCAAGACACGCACAGACCGCTGCTGTGCCAGCCTCTGCGGCAGACGATTCGTCGTCTGCTGCTCGTTCTCCGCCTGCAGCAACAGGTGCTGCAGGTGCATGCGGTACCACACCGCGTGCGCATGATGATTCCGACATTGAGGTCATCTACTCTGGCGAGTCAGACGTATCTGACTCGGGCAATGCTGCAAAGGCGTCTCGCTCACCGGCAGTGCCTCATTCATCCACGACACTGCCGGACGTACGGACTCGTGAGTTGCAACACAGTCTGTTCGGCAGTGATAGTGAGTCTGGTGATGAGTATGATTGCTCATCACCGCGATCAACTCGTGCTCCTTCGCACGAGCGACTTGACGATGGTGCAAGCCATCGTCATACTGACAATCGTGGTACCGACCAGGGTACCACTGTGAAGCGTGATGAGCTGAAGCCGTGGCGTTTGCCTGAACGGCTCATCAATGGCTTGTCTCACGAGACAAGACAACACCATCGAATGCCCTTATTCGATGCGACTGAGCTTCACGGCTTGAGTTCCAGCGCGAAGAACTTTCGCGCTGAGGAAGACATTTTTCTCGATGTCTTCCTTAGACATCGATGGTACAACAGCAACCAAAAGCGTGACAAAAACCCGCTTTTGGCTGCGTGGAACGCGTTCGTCCAAAACGTAAAGAATTTTGGACGAGAAGGGTGGCTCAAGAAGCTTGAGGCAGTACGCCTCAGGTTCGAAAAGCGAACGCCAACCGGTGCAAGGTACCGGTTGCATCGTTTATTAAATGAGGTCGGTATTCCATGCCTCACTTGGGGAGACCCTTGTGCGAGTTGTGCTGACAACTCGCAACGTGCGCAGAGAGACGTGTATTCCCTAGATTCGCCCCGGGGAAGGGCACACATCTCGGCTGAGATGCGTGACGCGATTGCAAACTTGCAATCCGTCTACAAGCGCCTAGGGCGCGTGTTTACCGATGGGCCACACGACTCATCGGATGGGTCTCGTCATACTGGCGGACGAGACCTTCAACATCCATCAACAGCTGAGAGCGGGGCTCCCAGCTGTTCCAAGAGGGTGGATACCCCCGCCACTGGACGAGGTAGCTCGTCCTTGATCCTGAATCGTCACGGTGATTCAAGATACGCTCCACTAGAAAGCGTTGATCACCGTGAGCATCCACTAAAGGATGTGGTGGAGGAGGAAAGACCTCCTCCAGATGATTCGGTTCACCATCTCGACCTTTACGAGATGGATCGCGCAATCGATGAATTGCGCGATGACTTGAAGCACGAGCACGACCGGCGCTACGCTTTGACTGATACCGTGCGGAAGAACCGCAAGGATCGCGAGGCTGATCGGGCGAGGGATCGCGCCGATTATGCCACAGCGCAGCTTCAGGTCGAGCGGGATGTCCGCTCCCTATTCGGCGAGCTGGCGACAGCTCGCGGGGAGATATCTCGGTTGAATACCGAGGTATCATATCTGCGCGACCAGACGGATCGTCTGGAGCGCGAATGCAAGAACTTGATGGATGTTCTTGAACGTGAGAGCTATCTTCACCGGAAGAAGAAGGCTCGTACTGACAGTACGGCCTGAGCCTCCCCACGTAAAACGTAGGATGCGTGCGCATCTTACGTGGCAATTCGAGTGTGTATGCATTTCCCATGCGATGCAACACTCGAAATGGCTCAATGTACTTCGCCAGTAGTTTACTACTGCCGACACTAATGACTGCGTGTCCAGGTAGGTTTACCGTAGACAGTAGTACTAGGTCGTTAACCTTAAATGAAAGAACATTTGCTCTTCCATTCTTGTCTGCGTTCCGTTTCTGACGGTCCACCGCATTTGCGATGGAGTCCTGAACGAAACGGACTACCGCTTCTCGAGTCAGCAGGCAGTTCTCTGCTGACTCTTTGTTTTGTCTGGCAGTGCGCTTCGTGCGCACTGCTAAGAGATTGCTCTCTTCTTCAGCGAGGTTGTCTTCTCCCTCGCTGACATAATCGTTGATGATGCTGAATATACCAGCATCGTCATCATCATCCGAATCAATAATAGCGTCTTCGCTATTATTGAGATGATCTTCTTCATCGATGTCGATTTGATCGACATCGGCATCATACGTGACGACGTTAGCGTCGACACGTGATGAGCAAGAGCCAAAACCGTTTTTGCTCGAGCGAGTCCCTCCCCCCTTATCCAAGAGTCACACTCTAGAAGGGTGGGCACTCGTGGATGGCGTAGGCCATTCACGTAAAACGGTGTGTGCTGTGTTGAAGCATGCACCGAATTATTGATGGCGAATTCCACCATGGGTAGGAATTCGCTCCAACTCGGAAACGAGTGGACATATCCT